TAGTAGTCATATGTCCTGCAATCATAACATGATCGAGGAGATTGGGATTGACTTCTCATAAAGTGCTCCCTGTTATCCAAAACGTGGATAGGCAGCTGGGAATCACGAGATGTAGAGTGACGGGCAACAGCCCTCGGAGAACAATGGTGAGAAGACTTCCGCGGCGGTGACTTAGAGTGTTGACCAAGTGGAATACAATCTGTCGGAGAGGATAAAGCAGGCGACAAAGTCGAAGGCTGGTGGTTAGACTTCTGAGCAGAGGTTGCCGTAGAGCCCACCTTAGGAGTTGACGTTGAGATACCGGAGATTATCACAGAATTGAGTTTCGGAGCTGAAGTCCATTTCAATGACTTCGATATCGGTGTTGAAGAGGGTTTATCATCCTGCTTTCTAGACTTCTGTTTCGAAGATTTAGCGTTCTCAGAGAGAGAAGGCGGCTTCTGAGGGGCAGAAGAAGCACGAAACGCCGTTGAAGACATTGTAGGGCGCAATGCAGCTTCCAAAAGAACTGTACGAAGGTGGGCCACCCTATTCCTATGGGCCTGTCTAGTGAACTTGGCACAAAGAGAGCACGAGTCCACCTGATGAAACTCCCCCAAACAAATTAAACAAAGGTCATAGCCGTCATTAGATGGGAGTTTAGCAGGACAACGGCGACACGACTTAAAAAATAGGGTGCGATCCTTGCAAACACCTTCCCGACCAAGGGGAGGGGAAGGGGAGGGGGGGAGAAAGAACGAAAGTGAAAAAAAATAGTAAAGCGAAACATCTTTTTTGTTTAGTTTAGAAGAAAAACAAAGGAAAAACGAGAAGTTGCCGAAGAAAGATGAAAAAGAACTCAGTTGAGGCGATTTGAAGAGCGACAGTAGTGAGGTGTGAACACGAAGGCGGTCAAAGAAGAACTGAATGGGAGGCAGCTCTCTCCCCAACTCCAGGCATGCGCAATGCGTGTCTGCTCCCCAGGGCGGGAAGAGAGCCCGCCAAAAAGACTCCTGAGGCAAGCTCTGGAATATTCTCCAATCGAGGTTGGCGCAGGCGCCCAGCCCCATGTGTGTGGGACTGCACAGAGACCACAACGAAGATCCATGAGCACCAACCTATGCTACTGAACACCATGTGAACCTATGTCAAACTGAACACCAGTGCTAATCAAACTCAAGTTTTCACTGAGACTTTTTGTGCCATTTTGGTACCACTTATATTTAAACAGCAATCCCCCTTCCCCATTTTTACCTGGTCCTTTTGACTCTCATTCCCACTTTCCTGATTCATGTTTTCTATCTCACTGAACAGTTTCTCAATGTTCTCTGATACATTACATTGGGTTTCTTTTTTCATCAGTTCTTGAATGAGTCCTGAAAGAAGAAATAACAAAACAAGGGGTGATTTCCCACAAGCGCTGCTCCACGCTCACTCCTCCCTTTTGCCCCGATGCCACGTGTCAATTTCACACAAGCTGCTGCAGCCGCGTTTCACCCCGCAGCTTCACACGATTTCCCCCATGTCTACTCAGTCCTGTTTTTTTGAGGATTGAGTAGAAGCGGGGGAAATCGCGAAGCTCTGGGGAGAAATGCGGCCAGCTTGTGTGAAATTGACACGTGGCATGGGGCAAAAGGGAGGAGTGAGCGCGGAGCAGCGCTTGTGGGAAATCAGTCAAGGTAAGTGAAAGGTAGTATTTTATTCCAGTAGCAAAATAAACTGCAAGAGAGAAAGGGAAGTTTAACTCATTGAATAAAACTTAGTTGATTGTAAAGGTGCCACTGGATTCCAACTTTGTTACATTGATCACCTGTTATTTTAGAAATTTCACAGCCTAAAGGCAGTTTGTTTCCTTGTGGTATGAGTGAAAGAAAATAATACAAATGTCATTGTGAGACAGACACTACACATTATGGTGTCACTTAAGTAAGCCATATTCTTGCAGACTCAAGAACTCAGCATAATTCACTGGGAACATCTCCTGCATAAGCTTCCCTGAAATGAACAGGAAAGCATGCCAGCACACAGAAGTGGAGAATTGTGCCCTAAGCATCCAATGTGCAAAACATTTCCTTTGCCTTCCCTAAGGCATGGGATCCAAACTGATGATTACCTTTCATTTCCATTAAATTACTTTTCTCCTCCATTCTTCTGATTCCGAATAAAGCCCTTTAAGAAGAAGAAGAATGTGTAATTATTATATTTCATACATGTTGTGCCAGTTTTAATCTATTATCTTTCCCTCCAGATACTAATTGCATCTATCCTTGCAGTACGTCACTTCCATTGCCAAATGTTATGAGAGCCCTGCAGCCGCCACCCTCCCAAATTAAAAAGGGATAATTAGTTCAGGTCAAAATGTGGAACTTCTCCATTCCCTGTCTCCTCTATTTGCCTCTTTAAGTCACCTTCACTTATCCTTCCCTCAGATTCATGCTTTGTTCACACATGCAGGGAAGCAAGGTAAGAATGAGGTACCAAATTCCCCTGTACTATTCAGACTGCAGGTGAAGGATCAAATTTTTAATATTCTCTTATATTAAAATAAATCCTACCAATAGAGCCACAAGCAAAGAGAGGTTGGAGAATCTTTCTTCTGGTTGTGCTAATGTTCCATTTGCAGTGAGCGTTTTTTATGCAAAGGAAGATTCAGTAGTAGAATCCCCTCCTTGCAGTCTGCAATAGTGCCATGTGTTACCATCTCATTCTCCTGCATGCTCAGACTACTACCTATTCTAATCCTTCAGCTGCTTTGCCTCTTCTATCTCTCTCCTTAGCTTCCCTACCACCTTGAAGCTCAGCCTGTGTCAGAAAGCTGTTCACTGAGCAGCTGGAGTGGTTATAAACATTCTGTGCCCCCCAATACCAGCTCTGTGTCAAAGGCTTCAGTCCCACAAATACAAAACAGCATGAATTAACTGCCCTCCCTTATGCCACAGAAGTTATACACAGGGAACAGAAAGCAGCTACCCTAGATGCAGGTGATTTAGCGATTTTTCCTCTCTGTGAATAGTGGACCGTTATGCAGTATCAGGCACCTGGAAAGACATTAATTAATTCAATTTGTATCCCACCCTCCCCACCAAAGCAGGCTCAGGGCAGCTTACATAAAAATTTAAACAAATAAATAGAACATGCACAGCAAAGAACAGATCAGATTAATGTTTAGTTTGTAAAATTAGAATGGCTAAATTTAGACCTCCCAAGATGAAACACCCTGTGACTGGGAAGTTCTGCTTGCTAAATCACCTCTCTGTATGTGCTCAAAGGCATTCTTCTTTGCACCCTCTCCCTACAGGGATGGTTTTGGTAAGATACTAGGTGAATTACTGGACTGGAAACTCTCTGGGCCCTCTGCATCACAGGAGTACCTCCCTCCATATGAATACCTCACCCCTGCTTCTAGATGTCATTTTGGCTTGTCTTCTTGTGTTTTATAGATGGTTCTTATTCAGGCCTGTAGCTAACGTGGGGCCCATGGGGCCTGGCCCTCTCCCCAAAAAATCCCTAGCTAATGCTCCAAGATGTGGAGTCTTGTGGGCAAAAAGTCTGCTTTGTGAGCTACTGGCATTAAAGTTGTGAGCGAGCGATTTGGCCACTGCATAAATTAGTTTGCTCTGGAGCCATCCTTCCTGAGCTAAGACAAAAATGTGTGAGCTGGAAACTAAAAAACTGAGCTAGCTCACACTAACTCATCTTAGAGGGAACACTGGACAGGGCTGTTCTTATTTATCTTTATTGTAAATGTAGTTATGTTTGGCATAGCTTTGAGCACCCTGTGGGAAGTCAGCTAACAAATGTCTCAAATTAGGGTTGCCAACTCAAGATTGGGAAATTCCTGGAGATTTTTTTGGGGGGATCTTGGGGATGATGGGGTTGGGGAAGGAGAGGGACCTTGGCAGGGCATAATTCCACAGGGTTCACCCTCCAGAGCAACCATTTTTCCCCAAGCAAACTGATCTCTGTAATCTGGAAATCAGTTGAAATTCTGAGAGATATGCAGGCCCCACCTGGAGCTTTGCAACCCTATCTCAAATGAGTAAACTCTGGGAGTGTCTTCCATTTGCCATCTCCCTTAAGAGTTTAAGGTTGATTATGCAGTAAAGCAGAGTACAGCTATCTCTGGAGTGACACAAAAAATGTCTACAATGTGGGTAGAATGCCTTCTCCCCAAGGGGAACCAAACTGAATTTCTGAAAAGATTCTTCTGAGCATAGTCTAGAGTGGCTACAATTTGGGTTTCTTAAAAAAATGAGTCTCTGATCATATGCCAAGTGTCTTTTCCTTCAAAAAGCAGTCAATTTGATTTCTAAAAAAGAACCAAAGATTCTGAGCATGTGCAGAGTGCCTTTCTCCTGAGAAGGGTATCATTCAGGTTTTAATGGAGCGCTTCTGTATAATTTCACCAGGAAAGCCCATGAAATCTGGGAATATCAGAACACAGTATAACTGTTTCCAGTCCCCTAGACTATGGAGTTTGCTGCCTTAAAATTATTTTCTGGTGCTGCTTGTTATTTGTTTGTTTTTTATGAGAATTATATTTTAGTTATTATGTCATTGATTTCTTTTTCCACGTTCAATCTGACCTGCCTCACGGCATTTTTTAACAAGGACAGGGAATTCATAGAGAAAAAAATCAAAATGAATGGGCAAATAACGACAGGAAGCTAGAAACACGTTCCCACGAAAACCCTTCCTTGCGCCGGTGAAACTCCAGCCGCTTAGAGACTGTTTCGCGTACAGACGATTCAGACCTCCAATAACACTGCTTCGTGTTCTGACAGAAACAAAGGTTCCCGCCCAAATCGCGCCCCACCCCCTCTATTTCCCCCATCTCGTTAGGCAAACTGCTAAGGCAATGGAAGGTTCAGGAACATGCGCCCGCGACAGGACCAAGTACATTGAAAAAACTATAATCCCCAACATTCCCTGCGCTGGAGGCGGCTCCCGAACGGCTTTTCTTGAGCGTAATGGTGACGTCATTCGCCCTGGTGCGTAAAAGGAATATCGTGAGTGACAGGCGCTGGAACCAATTATTTGATCAGGCCCTGCTTGGAGGCGTTTGTCAAGATGTCGGGGATTTTGAATACAACGTTGAGGGGGCTTGACAGTGATTCGTATTGCGATATCGGCTGCTACTGGGAGCAGCGCTTTGTGGTAGGAAAGAGAAAGGCTGGAGGGGATTCATTCTGAGGCACTCCTGTTGAAAACCCGTAATTTTTGCACGTGCTGGGTGGGCTTCTGCCAGTTCTTACACATAAAAGGCACTTTGTTCATGCTTGGAGGCGCCCTCCCTTTTGGTTCCATGTTTAAAATCCTTTGGCTCCTTGTAGAGGGTTGCCAATCTCCTCCCGGTAGGGTCTGGAGATCTCCCAGAATTATATCTGATCTTCAGACTACAGAGATCAGTTTCTCTTAAGTGGCTGTTTTGGAGGGTAGACTCTGTAACTGAGTTCCCTCCACAGCAAACCTGCCCCCCCCCCAAGCTCCACCTCCAAATCTCCAGGAATTTCCCTACACAGAGTTGGCAGCCGTATGTGGAGAGCAGCTCTATACAAGAAGGTCCTTAGCCTTTTGTTTATGCCAGTTCATTAGAAGAGGAGCTTTGTTTTCTTCAGTGGAGCGGTGCTCTGCTATGGGGATCTTGCTTTTTATGTCAGGAGTTTAGGAAAGCTGTTTGAATAAAGTACTGTGTAGAGGCGGCATAGGCATTTTCTAAACAAGTAAATAAACCAATGGAAGCTGATATCGCTAGAAAGGAGGGGTGTTCAATGTAGACCGGGAGAAGGAAGAGATGAGGTGGGATAAGATGGAGATGCCCTGTGTCGCTTGTACAGACTGGTTATTGTGACCCTGTGGCTTAAATGGTATAAATTATGGGGTAGAGTGTGGGTACAGTGAGTTGCAAATCCAAACAACTTTGTTGATCTTGAGCAGAGGAAAATTAAAATTTGGGAAGCATAACATTATGAGAAAACAAGAGTCTCTGGAAAAGACAATAATGCTAGAAAAGTTGAAGGCAGCAGGAAAAGAGAAAGACCCAGTGTGAGATGGATTGACTCAATCAAGAAAGCCATGACCCTCAGTTTGCAAGTTAATGATAGGATGTTTTGGAGGACATTAATTCATAAGGTCGCCATAAGCTGGAAGCAGCTTGATGGCACTTACCACACACAAAGCTTCCTCTTGAGTTCACAAGGCATGATGTACTGCTGCCCTTGTGACATGAAAGGGTAGGGCTGTAGGTAGTAGTACACTCTGACCTAGGTGAATGTGATGGCACCTGGTTGTAGGAGGGCTATGATATAATTAATATGGAAAAATAATATTAGTACAGTTTCCCAGACTACAGGTGCTGCGGGGGTGGGGAGTACTGAGAATTTGTATATGCCAGTGAATTTAATTTGGGATGATTAGCACTTCTTGCCTTACCAATAAGGTTTCTTTGAATTGGTATATACCCTAGCTCTTGATCTACATTTATGGAAAGTGTAGTCCCAGATTTGAGTGTCAGAAAAAGTCTTGGGAAATTGTCCTCGCCTCTTGAAGGTGCTGGGTGTATATTTTGCCTATTTTGGTCCAGTGGTATTGAAAGATTGATGCTACAATTCCATATGCTTTGCTGGCAAATGGTCTCTTCCACAGACACACACACTGGTTGTTTGCTAATGCTAGCCTTTTCTCCCACCTTTGTCTTACTTGGGTAGCCTTTGTATATGTAACCAGGTTATTTCTGCTTCTTTTGCAGTGCATAATTTTGGTGCTAAATGATACTGTAAATGGAATGTATGTGACGCTGTCCATCCCCCTCCTCTGTCCCTTTCCCAGGGTGACCGTGACCTGCAGAAGAAGGCTCTGAAGAACTCTACCACACTTTATGTGGGAAATCTGTCCTTCTATACCACAGAGGAGCAAATCCATGAGCTCTTTTCCAAATGTGGGGATGTCAAGCGCATCGTCATGGGGCTTGACAGGGTAAAGAAAACTCCTTGTGGCTTCTGCTTTGTAGAGTATCCTTGGCCATTTGATTTAATTTCTTGTTATTGTTATTATTTAAAACTGGTTTATGCTGCCTTTTCACCCAGTCACGGTCCACAAGGCAATGAACATAAAAACATTTAAACAATTAAAATACAGTTAAGAATATAAAATTCAGTTAGAAATACATAAGAACATAAGAAGAGCCCTGCTGGATCAGACCAGAGGTCCATCTAGTCCAGCATCCTGTCTCACACAGTGGCCAGCCAGATACTGTGGACAGCCAACAACAGGGCATAGAAGCTGAAGCCTTCCCCTGATGTTGACTCCTGGCTCTGGGATTCAGAGGCTTAGTGCCTCTAAATGTAGTGGTTTCACTCAGTCACCATGGCTAGTAGCCATTGATAGACTTATTGTCCATGAATCCCTTTTAAAAGCTGTTTATTCCTGTGGCCATCACTACATCCTCTGGCAGCAAACACCACATTTTAATCACTCTCACAACACTAGGAGGAGGACCAAAAACCATTATTGGGGTATGCCAGATGAAACACAATTCTTCACCTGCTGGCAAAAGACAATAGAGAGAGACACAGATTAATCACCCAGGGGAGAGAGTTCCAGAGTTTTGGTGCCATGATGGAGAAGGCAGGGCCTCCAAGGATGACCGGAGGGAGCGGGTAGGTTCATATGGGAGAAGGCAGTCCTTAATGTATTTTGGTCCCAGGCCAAACAGGGCACCTTGAATTGAGCCTGAACCAAATAGGAAGCCAGTGTAGGTGGAACAAAATTGGAGTGATATGGTCCCTATGGACCCAATCGAGTCAACACTCCAGCAACAGTGCCAATTCAAAGTGTTGGTACTTACCTTTAAAGCCCTAAATGGCCTGAGACTGTCCCAGCCTCTCCCAGCATGATCCTCCCTGTCTTCAGCGATCTTGACATTTTTTTTAAGTACCCATAGGTACACTTTTATTAATTTTTCTTTTATAATCTACAACAAACAAATCTGCACACTACAAACAGACACTCTACTACACATAACATGTATACCAAGAGAACAGTTACATTATATGCTTATATCCAATTACTTAATTAATAGAAACGCTCTATCACTTTCCATTCTTCCGTCTTCTGTGTTCTCAAGTCCATTGTGCCATAATTGCCTAATCTTCTATTATATTTACATTATACCAATCATAAAACTTTTTCCATGTTTTTTGAAATGTCCACTCTTTGCTTAATCTCATTTCTAAAGTCAGTTTATCATTTTCTGCTGTTTCAAAAAGTTTATTCACAAACTCCTGTTTTGTTGGTATCACCATAGTTTTCCAATATTTGGCATATAAAATTCTTGCAGCTGTCGTCATATAAACAGTCAAATACCTATTCTCTTTTTCATAATCATTTGGAAATATATTCAACAGCAAGACCTCTGGAGTAGATGGAATCTTTGCTCTTAGTATCTTCTCCATCAAACTATGGACCCATTTCCAAAACTTTTTTGTAACATCGCATAGCCACCACATATGATAAAATGTGCCCCTTTTACTCTTACATTTCCAGCATTTATCAGAACAGTTAATATTTTGCTTAGCCAGTCTATCAGGTGTAATATACCATCTATAAAACATCTTATACATATTCTCTTTATATGTTATAGCATTAGTCATTTTAATATTTTTCTCCCAAATCTGCCCCCAATCTTCCAGATTTATAGCATACCCTAAATTCTGAGCCCATGCAATCATATTATTCTTCACAATTTCATCTACCATTGTATCATCCAACAAAATTTTATATATTTTCTTTATCATTTTACTATCTGCTGTTAACATAACATTTTCCAGTTCGGTTATTTTACAGTTAAATCCCACTTTTTTGTCCTTCAAATATATTGATTCCAGCTGTGCTTTTTGCCACCAGGACAAATGTTCCGGTAGTTTAAGATTGTCCTTACTGTCCAAAATGTCCTGATACCTCAATGTTTCTTCTCCTGTATAAACATTTGGGAGCGTGAAGGCCTCTAATGGTGTTATTAGTCTCGATCTTCAGGCTGAGAGATTTGCTTTGCTTTAACAGTGAAACAGCACTGTATTGCCCTTAGTATTCTCTGGATGGTGATAATAAGTTGTCAGCTTTTGATTGGGGGATGGGAGATTTGGGGACCTCCAGCTGAGTGGCTCCCCTCCTGTCTTCTCTTTAGCTTGGGGCCAGCCAGCATCAGGTCTTTATATGGTCCCATGAGTCTTTCCTTATAGTAACTTTCCAGATACTACACAAGAGCAGAAGCCGAGCATTCTATGCGGTTCATCAACAGAACCCGGCTGGATGACCGCATGATCCGAACAGACTGGGATACTGGGTTCAGGGAAGGACGGCAGTATGGCCGTGGGAGGACAGGTGGCCAGGTAAGGAGCATGAGGTTTGTGGGAAGCTTGCAGATCTTAGACAAGTTTGAGGAATCTGGCAGATATTGGGCTGGGCTGGTTCCGATTTTTGTTTGGATATATGTTGTGCCCCAAGTGCTCAGGATGGGACTAGCTACTAAGGTATGCCAGTAAATGTCCAGATGGGTAAGTAGGCTTGCTGTCAGAAATGGTGTTTTCAAAATTAATACTTGGAAGCTGCAGCAGAGACAAAAGTGTGAAATTGCGTGTCTGTGGGTCCTAGTTCTTCCAGGCCAAAGACCAAACCCTAATCCCTGCAGAATTGTCTTGAATTATAAGTAGACTTGTCAACAGCCTGGAGGAAAATGTTCTGTCCCTTTAATAGAATATTTATGGGATGTTATTTACTAGATGGTGTTACTTACCTGCATGCCATGTAAGGCTTCAGCTGCTCATTTCCACATATTAAACCTCTATTAAAGGAACAGGACACTTTTGTCTAGGTTGTTGGGAAACTTGAACTCTGACAGATTCATTATTAAAAATTCCGTGTTATCATCCATATACCCCAGGTGAAGTAAAAAAACCCCTCATGGTACCAACTAAGGCTGTGATCACACACACTAAATAATCCACTTTCAATCTACTTTCAGTGCACTTTCCAACTGGATTTTACTTTTATGAACTGGCAAAATCCAGTTGGAAAGTGCATTGAAAGTGGATTATTTAGTGTGTGTGACCGCAGCCTTAGATTGATAGTTCTGGGCGTGTTCCTGTATCTTCGTTGATCTAAGTTTTTATCTCATTTTTCTTCCTCTGTAGATTCGAGATGAATACCGGACAGACTACGATGTTGGGAGAGGTGGCTTTGGCAAGATTGTTCAGATGCAGAAGTCGAATCAACAAACAGTGATCTACTAGCAGCTTTGTGGATTGAGGGCCAGAGCAGGAGAAAAGGAAGACCAGATTCTTCCAGGACTGTTGGGTGTGTGTCTTTCACTATGGCAGAACTGTCCCTGGATTCAGAGGGAAACAAGGTGATGGTTTGAGAACATTCTTGGCAACCTGCAGTTCTAGCTGCCCTTGAGGGCTTCGTGCTCTGGCTAACACAGGGGACTTCTTCCAGGATTATATGTGCTTGTTTGGCAATCCCTGAGGCACAGAGCCAAGGAATCCAATAGCTGTCAGAATCTCCGGCCCAGATGGATTAGGACAGGACACACAATGGTCTGTGGGTTTTGAATGGCTCTTTGCTCTCCTTGCTTTTCCTGTGTAGGAACTTGAGTGCCCTAGTTTGTCTCTGTTTTGAATCCTTTATTTTATTCTTGTTAAAAGATTCCTAAATACACTTCACATCCTGTAACTTCTGCTGTAGCCTTTAATTATATGGTGGATAAAGAGAATAAAGAATGAGAGTTCTCTCAACCAAGGGAGTTGTGATGTGTGCAAGGACTTTTCTGGTTGGGACTATTTATTCTGTCTGTAGGTATTTATTTATTTCCTGGGGCAAGAGGGAATGGTAAACTTGAGGGGGGAGGGCTGACTTTTTCCTTTTGCCCTCTGTCAGTCTTGAGGGAATCTCCACTAAGAACCTGAAATGCTTCCTTCCTGTAGGCCCTTTGAACCAAGTTCTAGTCAGCAGATGTCTCTCCATGGCAACACCATGCAGGACTCAGTACCAAGCTAGCTACTGTTAGTGTCAAATTGGATGTCCTCATGTCACTGCCATTTTACAGTGATTTTAAAATGGCAGGCAGCCACGGGAACACCATCAATTCTAGTTTGGCCCTTAGTCTAGTCCACAAGTGAACAATGCAGATGCTGACACCAGCAGTGGTTGGTGGTTTTCTAGCATTGTTCTCTCTTTTTTTGGTTCATTTGGACAGGTTAAGCTTTGGCACTTTCAGGATGACAAGATCCCTTTGACTGAAGTGAGTGGAAGCCAGAGCACAGCCAGACTGAATATTTTGTTTATAAATTGGATAATGGGGGAGAGAAAGGTTGCCATTGACCAGCATTACACTGCAGGAGTGAGATCTAAGAACTGGTGAGTGTATGTATTTTAACTTTTTAGGCTGTTCAATTACAGCCAGCAAGATGGGACATCCAATAAGCAATGCAGTAGGATTTGGATTGCAGAAATCTGAAACCGAGCTGGAACAAATAGTAAGGTTCACTTGACGTGTTAAATGATGCAGAAATTACATAGTTGGTACATATAGCAATGGATAGTATATAATACAGTCCAGTAGATACAATACACAGTCTGTTTCCCTAAGGAACTTTCTGAACTGTTTCGTCATAGTCTAGTGTTGTTACTGGTGTAAAAATGCCCCACTGAATAATTCAGTTTTGCATCATTTGCAGAATGCCAGGAAAGTGGGAGTCTTCCTGCCCTCATCATGCTGGACATTCCAGATAAAAAGTTATCTGCAATAAATGTAAATACCTCTGACCCATGTTACCTCTTGTTCCAAGTTACTCTTTAGAAGTTGGGGAGCTGAGAAATAGGCAAGTGTTGAAGGATTGTGAGGGCAGCCAAGAATATTATGTTACTTGAGAACAAACTCAAGAGAGATGAGGGCAGGGGGTAGTGATTCACCAAGGTTACTAGAAGGGTCACATACTCGCTGATTGTAATATGGCTCCTTTCAATCTGAGTGAGAGGTTCTAAGTTCTAGCTCTGCCTTGCTGACTCTTCTCAGAAGCACTATATAGGAATAGCTACTGTGATAGGTGCGCTAAACTAAATAATACAGTACTACAAAAATCAGAAAATATATGCTGTTTAAATAAGTTCAAGTGATAAGTAATATATATGCTTTTATCCCCCAAAGGTTGGAATACAAAAATACAGTCAGTTTCAAATAGAAGTGGTTTTTAACGAAGCAAAAGATGTTAACGACGTGCTCCAGAATGTCCTGTGTCGTTTCAACGTTCGTTCTTCTGAACAAGATTTTATCTACAAACAAACATTTACAACAAGATTTTTCTTCAAGGATACTCCAATCCAACTAACCTAATTAATGTAGAAGACAATAAAAATTCTTATTTGTTTTCTCAGTATCTTTTAAAAGCTCTAACCTGTCTCTTCTATCAGCCCTATTTCGTGCCTTAGCTACAATTTCTACTGGATAGCCTCTCAGAAAATCTACCTGCACCCTAGAAGCTTCCTGGTGGTAATCTTGTGACAATGTGGCATTCATTTTCAGCTTCAAACCTGCCCATAGGGTAAATTGTTTCTAATATTTCTGACATGAAATTAAGAAAAATGCAAAAAAAATTTTTTATCAGTGGGTTTGTGAAAAGGACGCACAGCTAGTTGTCCATTGTGCATGAATACTGTCGTGTCTAAATAGTTGATCTGTTGCCCATCTGCTGCATATGTAAATTTAATGCTACTATGTATTGAATTAAGCCAGTCCATAAAGGGCTTTATGATGGATCCATCCTCTCAGAAGCAGCCAGAGGTTATTAAAAAGCAAGTTAAGTCCCACAGACAAAAGGGCCTTAACTATTACTCCTGGAATTTAGCTGTGCTCCTCTGTTACAGTCATTAGGTACCTTAAAGATTAACCACAGGATAGTGGTAGAAATATTGCTGGCCTATGGCTGCGGTGGCTCAAGTGGTTAAGACACTGAACTGCAGGCTGTGGAAGGTCAGTAGTTCAGCAGTTCGAGACCCGGGTGCCGCATGACGGAGTGAGCTCCCGTCTCTAGTTCCAGCTCCTGCCAACGTAGCAGTTTGAAAGCAAGAAATTGCAAGTAGATAAATAGGGACCACTTTGGTGGGAAGGTAACAGCGTTCCATGCGCTTTGAAACAGAGATGAGCACCGCAACCCTAGAGTCGCATTCGACTGGCTTTCGAGCAAGGGAACCTTTACCTTTTTATGGCCTGCTTAATTGTTGGGGTACAGTTTGATCCTCAGATGGCATACACATATGGATCCATGTAATTTTTTAATGAACAAGACCAAAAGGCTGAACATATATAATAATCTAAGAACAGGTTCATTGTACAAACAGTATTTAGTGATCTAGCTATGCTAATATGATACCGGTAGCAACAAAAAACATCCAGTGTTTCAGTTAGGCCTGAACTGAATTTGCTGCTAACGGCAACTCAGCAATTCCATGCCAGTCTCCTATTAAATGGAGGTGAGAAGTAGAACTTTCCCATTTGCCATATTTGGATTGTGTCCATTCTTAGCAGTAGAGAGTGACCTACTTGTCTTCTGTAAAACAGCAAAAGGGCATTCTTCTGGTAATGCATCTTTCTCCTCTCACCTGTCTGCTTTGTTGCTCAGGGTGTACTGTTCTTTATGCAAGGGACCACGAGCAGCTCACTTCTTGTAGGGCTTCTGACTTCTTTTGTTCAAATAGCTAATCTGAGCAAGCTTCAGGGCAATGAATCTTGGAACTAATATTGTAGTGTTCTTCCTAGCTCAGGCCATGGATGAATACACTATGTACTGCATTCAGCTGGGATTTCTATACCTTATAATAGAGCCAGAGGTACCAGGTCTAGCATAATGGTATTGGTAGATGAGGGGGATGCTTTTTCCATGGAAGCTCCCCTGGCCAGTTACTGCTGAAGCTTGAGAAATAGATCCTCCTCTGGACTAACTGCTAGTATAGGCAGAGAACCAGGTTTGATTCCCCACTCCTCCACATGCAGCTGCTGGTGTGAGCTTGGGTCAGTCATAAGTACTTTCAGAGCTGTTCTCTCAAGGGCAGTTCTCTCAGAGCTCTCTCAGCCCCACCTACCTCACAGGGTGTCTCTTGTGGGGAGGGGAAGGGAAGGGGATTGTAAGCTGCTCTGAGACTCCTTCGGGTAGTGAAGGGTGGGGTACAAATCCAATCTCTCTTCTTAATTAATGACACCTACTCACTTTTAGTGGTATGATCCTAACTCTGCTTCTTGGAGTTGGAATTGGCTTCTCAAATCTATCCTTTGGGCATATAAGTGCGTATCAGTTGTTGATGTCTGTGGTTCATCCCATTTCTTAGTTCTGGGAATTGGTAGTAAGAATTTATTCTTGATTTTACTGGCCCATGTCCATTGCGGTGGCACTTGACAATGCTGCTTTGAAATGAGGGCAGCAGTGCACCCCAAGGGAACCCTGACAACTGAAGTGAACAGATGTTCCAAAAGGTGACAGTGTATCTGGTGAACAAACCCCCCCCCCCACCATGACATACTGTGAGATACTTGCCACAGCAGCTGCAAACCTCCACAATGTCAAGATATTGCAATCTTTTGGGTTCAGCAGTCCCAAAAGTGGTCTGTCCCCTGCCTTCAGAAGTCTGGGAGGCTGCAACTAAGGTACTCCTGCATTCGATCTCTTATTCCAGCCATGATCTGTAATGGATCCCCAGTGCCAAGAAGCATCCCCCTATTTTCATTGTTGCTGAAGGAATACAGAGGCAGCAATTGCTAGAATTGAGAATCAGAAGTTGCCAGCAGGAGGCACTCAAAAGCTACAGTTGAAGCCTGATGGCCCCTCCTATGAGCTTGCAACTGTCTTTCTCATGACAACACTTTAAAACATTTGGTGTGCTTTCCTGGCCAGAAGGGAAGTCTGGATGTGGAAGAAAGGAATTTCTTTCTCAAATGTATCAGATATTCATTCTAACTTCATGGAAATGTTTGGGTAATGTTTCCTTTCCCTAGCAGCTCCTATTCTCTCCTTAGAAAAATGGAAAGCATTAATAATTAAATGAAATGGGATAAATACTGTACAAGTTAAGACCCAGATTGATTCTGGCCCCTTATACTGTTGAGTTCCTCCCAGCTCTGTTACTGCTTGTCTCAGTTTGAGCTACCTACTTCATACCATAGTACAGGAGTCCCCAACATGGTGCCTATCAGTACATTTACTGGCACCTGCCAAGTGTCTTTAGTAAGCAAGTGGGGCTTTTGCCCAGCAAGGCTTCTGCTTGGCTGCTGGAGATGTGATTTGACTGTGCAGGTTTTAAAAACTTTGCTTTGGCAGCAGAAGTACAAGGAACCTTACTGTGTGAGTGAAGGTAAGCTGTAGCAGCCATTATGTGGCTCGCTCCTCCTCCTATGGCAGCCATTTTGTGGCTGTGTCCACCATTCTGTGTCAGAATTCCAAAGGTACCACAAGCACAGAAATGTTGGGGACCCCTGTCATAGTAGCCTTAGCTCATGCCCTCCTCAGGCTTATTTATCCCATGTTTCCTCTCCTTGCTACGGAAGAGCACATGGCCTTTTTTCCAGGAAGGCTAGCCCTGGCAGGGAACAAGGAAGCTCCAAAACCCCTTCATTTAGACCCAGCTCCTGTCTTGGACCTGCAATGAACTCTCCACTGTCCAACAGACACAACTCTTAGTAAGCCACAGGC